CAGGTGCGTGGAGTGTACAGGTGCGTGAAGTGTACAGGTGCGTGAAGTGTACAGGTGCGTGAAGTGTACAGGTGCGTGAAGTGTACAGGTGCGTGGAGTGTACAGGTGCGTGAAGTGTACAGGTGCGTGAAGTGTACAGGTGCGTGGAGTGTACCGGTGCGTGAAATAGTATAACAAAGGGGATATTAAAGTGTTCAACTTTAATTTTAAAGTTGAACTATAAATACTGGTTTGGAAAAAAATGGTTGATAATTCATGGATATATATATATATATATATATATATATATATATATATATATATATATATATATATATATATATATATATATATATATATATATATATATATATATTATTGAATAAGACCGAAAAAGTAAGATTAATAATTCTAACACAAATTTTCTCTATCTTTCTTATGTTTCTTTTCACTGTTGATGGTAATTCAAAGATCTATTCTCCAAAATTCATTTTTATTTCTAGTCTGACGCGACACTTGAGCGCGTTTCGTAAAACTTATTACATTTTCAAAAACTTTAGTTTACAAACACACAACTGAAACTGAATAGAGCTTTACACATCTTCGAGGTTTATATCTACATTTGGGTGAGGTGGATGAGGTGAAAAACGAACTTCCAACAATGGGTATTCAATAGGTATTAAATTCCAACATAAGACAGAACACGAAACAATAGGTATTGAACGCTTTAAAAGAGACCAACATCGTCTATGCCTTCAAATGCCCTCTTGGGGACTGCAAGCCTCAAAAAAAACAGTATATAGGCAAGACAACAACATCTCTTTCCAGGCGTTTAACGATGCATGAGCAACAGGGCTCCATTAAGGAACATATAATCTCTTCCCACAAACAAACCATCACCAGAGAAATCTTAGTAAACAACACAGAAATCATCGATAGATACAGCGATAGCAGGCGGCTTGACGTCTGCGAGGCACTACACATCAGAAGTCAACACCAGCAATCAACAGCCAATTAATGCACAACTATATTCTACCCACTTCAAGACTCCGCTCCAATATAGAAGCATCAAGAAATATGGACCAATAGGCTTTCTACAATTACTTCCATTCAATACCCCTTGTTTTTCGTGTTCTGTCTTGTGTGTTTGAATTTAATACCCATTCAATACCTATTGTTTCGTGTTCTGTCTTGTGTTGGAATTTAATACCCATTGAATACCCATTGTTGAAAGTTCGTTTTTCACCTCATCCACCTCACCCAAATGTAGATATAAACCTCGAAGATGTGTAAAGCTCTATTCAGTTTCAGTTGTGTGTTTGTAAACTAAAGTCTTTGAAAATGTAATAAGTTTTACAAAACGCGCTCAAGTGTCGCGTCAGACTAGAAATAAAAATGAATTTTGGAGAATTGATCTTTGAATTACCATCAACAGTGAAAAGAAACATAAGAAAGATAGAGAAAATTCGTGTTACAATTATTAATCTTACTTTTTTCGGTCATATTTTTATTATATATATATATATATATATATATATATATATATATATATATATATATATATATATATATATATATATATATATATATATATATATATGTCGTACCTAGTAGCCAGAACGCACTTCTGAGCCTACTATGCAAGGCCCGATTTGCCTAATAAGCCAAGTTTTCCTGAATTATTATATTTTCTCGAATTTTTTTCTTATGAAATGATAAAGCTACCTATTTCATTATGTATGAGGTCAATTTTTTGTTATTGGAATTAAAATTAACGCAGATATATGACCGAACCTAACCAACCCTACCTAACCTAACCTAACCTATCTCTATAGGTTAGGTTCGGTTAGGTAGCCTAAAAAGTTAGGTTAGGTTTGGTTAGGTAGGTTAGGTCGTCGAAAAACAATTATTTCATGAAAACTTGGCTTATTAGGCAAATCGGGCCTTGCATAGTAGGCTCAGAAGTGCGTTCTGGCTACTAGGTACGACATATATATATATATATATATATATATGACGCCTTAATCCACTTGACCATCACGAAATATATATATATATGTCGTACCTAGTAGCCAGAACACACTTCTCAGCCTACTATGCAAGGCCCGATTTGCCTAATAAGCCCAGTTTTCCTGAATTATTATGTTTTCTCTAATTTTTTTCTTATGAAATGATTAAGCAACCCATTTCATTATGTATGAGGTCAATATTTTTTTATTGGAGTTAAAATTAACGTAGATATATGACCGAACCTAACCAACCCTACCTAACCTAACCTAACCTATCTTTATAGGTTAGGTTAGGTTAGGTAGCCGGAGAAGTTAGGTTAGATTAGGTTAGGTAGGTTAGGTAGTCGAAAAACAATTAATTCATGAAAACTTGGCTTATTAGGCAAATCGGGCCTTGCATAGTAGGCTGAAAAGTGAGTTCTGGCTACTAGGTACGACATATATATATATATATATATATATATATATATATATATATATATATATATATATATATATATATATATATATATATATATATATATATATATGTCGTACCTAGTAGCCAGAACTCACTTCTCAGCCTACTATGCAAGGCCAAATTTGCCTAGTAAGCCAAGTTTTCATGAATTAATTGTTTTTCGACTACCTAACCTACCTAACCTAACCTAACCTAACTTTTTCGGCTACCTAACCAAACCTAACCTATAAAGATAGGTTAGGTTAGGTTAGGTAGGGTTGGTTAGGTTCGGTCATATATCTACGTTAATTTTAACTCCAATAAAAAAAAATTGACCTCATACATAATGAAATGGGTAGCTTTATCATTTCATAAGAAAAAAATTAGAAAAAATATATTAATTCAGGAAAATTTGGCATATTAGGCAAATCGGGCCTTGAATAGTAGGCCAAAAAGTGAGTTCTGGCTACTAGGTACGACATATATATATATATATATATATATATATATATATATATATATATATATATATATATATGTCGTACCTAGTAGCCAGAACGCACTTCTCAGCCTACTATGCAAGGCCCGATTTGCCTAATAAGTCAAGTTTTCATGAATTAATTGTTTTTCGACTACCTAACCTGCCTAACCTAACCTAACCTAACTTTTTCGGCCACCTAACCTAACCTAGCCTATAGAGATAGGTTAGGTTAGGTTAGGTTCGGTCATATATCTACGTAAATTTTATCTCAAATAAAAACAAATTGACCTCATACATAATGAAATGGGTAGCTTTATCATTTCACAAGAAAAAAATTTGAGAAAATATATTAATTCTGGAAAACTTGGCTTATTAGGCAAATCAGCCCTTGCATAGTAGGCTGAGAAGTGCGTTCTGGCTACTAGGTACGACATATATATATATATATATATATATATATATATATATATATATATATATATATATATATATATATATATATATATATATATATATGTCGTACCTAATAGCCAGAACGCACTTCTCAGCCTACTATTCAAGGCCCGATTTGCCTAATAAGCCAAGTTTTCATGAATTAATGTTTTTTCGTCTACCTAACCTAGCTAACCTAACCTAACCTAGCTTTTTTTGGCTACCTAACCTAACCTTACCTATAAATATAGGTTAGGTTAGGTTAGGTAGGGTTGGTTAGGTTCGGTCATATATCTACGTTAATTTTAACTCCAATAAAAAAAAATTGACCTCATACATAGAGAAAAGGGTTGCTTTATCATTTCATAAGAAAAAAATTATAGTAAATATATTAATTCAGGAAAACTTGGCTTATTAGGCAAATCGGGCCTTGAATAGTAGGTTGAGAAGTGAGTTCTGGCTACTAGGTACGACATATATATATATATATATATATATATATATATATATATATATATATATATATATATATATATATATATATATATATGTCGTACCTAGTAGCCAGAACGCACTTCTCGGCCTACTATGCAAGGCCCGATTTGCCTAATAAGCCAAGTTTTCCTGAATTCATTTATTTTCTGTAATTTTTTTCTTATGAAATAATAAAGCTACCCATTTCATTATGTATGAGGTCAATTTTATTTTATTGGAGTTAAAATAACGTAGATATATGACCGAACCTAACCAACCCTACCTAACCTAACCTAACCTATCTTTATAGGTTAGGTTAGGTTAGGTAGCCAAAAAAGTTAGGTTAGGTTAGATTAGGTAGGTTAGGTAGTCGAAAAACAATTAATTCATGAAAACTTGGCTTATTAGGCAAATCGGGCCTTGCATAGTAGGCCGAAAAGTGCGTTCTGGCTATTAGGTACGACATATATATATATATATATATATATATGTCGTACCTAGTAGCCAGAACGCACTTCTTGGCCTACTATGCAAGGCCCGATTTGCCTAATAAGCCAAGTTTTCCTCAATTAATATATTTTCTCTAGTTTTTTTCTTATGAAATGATAAAGCTACCCATTTCATTACGTATGAGGTCAATTTTTTTTTATTGGAGTTAAAATTAACGTAGATATATGACCGAACCTAACCAACCCTACCTAACCTAACCTAACCTATCTTTATAGGTTTGGTTAGGTTAGGTAGCCGAAAAAGTTAGGTTAGGTTAGGTTAGGTAGGTTAGGTAGTCGAAAAACAATTAATTCATGAAAACTTGGCTTATTAGGCAAATCGGGCCATGCATAGTAGGCATAAAAGTGCGTTCTGGCTACTAGGTACGACATATATATATATATATATATATATATATATATATATATGGCTGTGTTTCTGCCTGCACTGCTGCACCTGTTGGTGATGAGTGTGGCTCACACGCACCCGCAGGTCTGGCCAGGTAGCTCCACCAAAGTTGTTCCGGACAATATATGTTTTTTTATTTTAGATATCGCCTCAAACTCTGACCAGTCTCGCGATCTTCGCTTCCCAATGTTTGCCTTTTGTTTACCTCTGTATGGGTTCGGACTCCATCTCTGTAGGTACTGGTCCCTTCTCTCCCATACTGGTGCTGACCACTGGCTCTCTCCTTCAGACTGTGGCCGGGGCACTCCAGCGCCCACAACAACCTGGGCACACTTCTTAACGACACCACGGAGGCCGAGAACCACTTCCGGATGGCCCTGAAGGCGCACCCTCACCACGCCCACGCCTACTACAACTTGGCCAACCTCAGACAGTAAGTGATACTTAAGTTACACCATCTTTCGTGTCCTCTGCTTTCTGGTTAACCTCTTACAGCAGTTACGTGATCATTTCTGACTGCCTACACCCTCCACGCCTCACACGAGCACTAGTTGTACTCCTCACAGGAGGAACAGTATCACCTTAGTTACACCGGACCGAACCGTACCAGTACCGTACCTAGTTACAACCGTACCGAACCGTACCAGTACCGTAACTAGTTACACCGTTGTATCGTACACAGTCTACCCACCACAATACACACCATTTATACATATGCTACACACCTCCACCAACCTAACCTAGCAACGTCAGTAGTTCATGTTCTTAGTATAATATAAAATTAATTAGAATAAACAAATTTGAAAA